TGAATATCGAACAATAAATGTAATTTTCTGCAAGCTAATTAATGTATGGCTGGTGGGTATTAGCCGAGGTCACAGGACACAAAAAGATTGAGAGATATTTTTTATAATGATCATTTAACTTTTATTTTGTTGCATCAAAGTTATTAAAATATTGTGTAATAAAAAATCATTTAATTTTACTTAAGTATAATAAAAAGTCACTAGTTATTTTTTGTACCAAAACAATTCCTAAACTTTTATTACTAAAAAGTCATTAAACATTTTACTCAACAAAAAGCCATTAAATATTTTTTTGTTACTAAAAAATTATTCATCTTTATCTAAGTATCACATAAAATATCTCTTTTTATTTTCTCCTATTACCTTTATATGAAATTTAGACAAAGTTGAGCAAATTTTTTGAAGTAACGTTTTTGATACTTAGTTAAATGTATAGGGTAAAAATGTTCATATTAAATGCTCGCATGACAAAGCGACACGTGTAGCCGAAAATAGAAGGCAATTAGATCTGATGGCAACGATCGCGTTTGTTCCCGAATGGTGTTCATAAAAGCGAAATAAATGTCTGTCACCCAATAGCATTTAATGGAGAATATTTTATAGCATTAAGTACATAGTCCGTTACAGAGAATATGACATTCACTGCCTACTGTTACACACTCTTCAATAGCCCTCATAATTGCCATTTAAGAGGGGTTTGATCCTATAACCTTGTTCCGTGAGTGCAATTATAAATAGTGAGCTCAACAACCATTGTAAGAGACATGAATTTTCTGACAAGTTGATATTATACTTTGTTCAAAAGCTCAATAATATTTTATCTTCTTGCTTATTAATATTGTTACTACTGCCTCCGGAAGCCCAGCTCCCGGAATCAAGATTTATATTGTCTTATCTCGATTTCAACGCTAAGTCTTACATTCTTGGTTAATTTATTCATCATTTTAGGATCAAATCGATTCACTTGTCTATAAACCACGTATAAATTCAACTTGACCGTTTTATGGGTAAGCAATAAAGTTGAATGATTTTTTGGTTAATGTAAATATTAATGAATTTTGTGCAATAAAATATAATTTGAGTACTCATGCATATAATTAATTCAATGATTGAGTTGCAAGAATCATAGCTTGGCATATTTTCTTTTTCTCTTTTGAGTTTGTGTTTTATTCAGTAATAATCGATAAATATTTATAAAATAATTACAATTAAATATTTATGGTAAATTTTATTTATTTACTTGATATAAATGATAATTGATGATAAGTCAAGTTTATAGTTATGTAAAAAGATTTGCGCGATGGATCGCTAGTATCTCTATTACATTTCTACTATTAGTCTTTTCTCATGTAAAGAAAATATGAAAATTATATTTTCTTTAAATTATTTTAGGATTAGTTGAGCCATTCTAATGAAAAGGGTGTTTATTAATAATTTTATATTGAATACATCAATTCCTTGTTATTTATTTCAAACACTTAAAAAATATTTTTAGCATTTATAAGCCTGTTTGGCCTAACTTCTTTTAGGCCAAGAGTAATTTTTTTATAGCAAAAAGTTTTTTTATTTTTTTAAAGTTAAGGTGCTTGATCAAGCTTTTAGAAAGAAAAAAATATTTTTGCATAGTAGCATAAGTAGTTTTTGAAAAGTAAAAAAACAGTTTTTTCCGAAAAATACTTTTTGAAAAGCGTTTTTGAAAAAAATACATTTAGAAGCACTATTTAAAAGTTTAGCGAAATATTAATTATTGTTCAAAATTATTTTTTTAGATTAAATAGCCAAGCACGAACTGCCTTTTAACAAAAATATTTTTTTTAAAAGTTTATTTTTGAAGCTTGACATTAGTGTTTGTCAAAAAATATTAATACAAGGGGGTTCTTTAACATCTAAGCTTTAAAGTACAGGGTTACAGAAGAAAACAAGCTTTGGGTTTTTCTTTTTGGAGTTTAAAGATTAAACTTTTGGGGTGTCAAAAAAATTTGATGGTTCCTTTGACTTCGTCTCAAACTCTGGAAATTTGTAAAGATGCAGCTGGAATCGCCGGTATACCTCATTTTCTCTCTGTATCTTCCTTTTCATAAAGATTTGGGCTTGTATTTTAGTGGTTTCTGCAAACATCTTCGTCTCCGTTTCTTGCAATTTTCCCTGTTTGCATCAGCTAGCTGAGTCAATCAGAAGACAATTTTTGAATTTTATATAGAATTCATTTAACAAAATGATCTTACTTTCTGGAAGATAAATTAAGCTAGCTAAGTGAACAACTGTTTTTAACTCTGCTAATGAAGGGCATATAGTTACTTTCTGAATTTTATATATTTACTTTCTGAATTCTATATAGTTACTTTCTGGAAGTTGTAGTTTAAAATATTTCAAAAAGGATGATCATCAATCTGCTAGTGAAGGGCACGAGTAATATGTATGCAGTTAGTTTCCATTATTGTTTGCTAGTACTGTGTATTGTTTGGCCCTAAACTTCTAAATTGTTTCGCGTTATCCGAAGTTAAGCTTGTAAATTTAGGCCGCATTTGCTGCTAGCTTTTGCAAAAGTACTTCTATGTTGGATCTTCTTAAAATTGTTTGTAAAACAAATATATACATATAACTTTTTCCCTAAGGGTGTGTTTGGTAGAATAAATTGTAAAGTATTTTTACGGTGTAATTCAGAAAGCAAACGTCTTATAGAACTAGCACAACTGAATTTGATAGTGGGCAAACAGTTGTAGACCTGAAATGGTGTCTCACTTTTAGAAGCTCCATTTGAGCTAAAATTTGTTCAGATTAAACTCGTGATGAAGTGTTTTACAAGTTAAAAACAAAATTGCTCAAACACATTGGAGTCTTATGCCTGGCCTTAAAATGAAATAGGTTCTAACGGACTAGTGAGATAATACCCTTTATTTCTTTAGATCATTCTTTTGTTGCAAAAAATTTCCCTTTTTTGCTAAATGAGATTAGCAAAATTATTCTTGAGCTTTGTAGTGACTCAAGAGAAACATTAACCATCTTGGCTGCTCGTTGCAGGGAACATCTTTGCTTTTGGGTTGTTTCTGTCTCCAATGTGAGTTTTAAGCTTTGCGTACTTCGTTTGCTTTACTTCTTTTCCGTAATCTGTTGCATTTTATCTTTACTCTCAGACCTACATTCAGGAGAATAATGAGAAATCAATCAACCGAACAGTTCTCAGGATTGCCATACATATATGGGCTCTTGAACTGCTTGATCTGTGCTTGGTACGGCACACCTCTTGTATCTCCTGACAATTTGTTGGTAACAACAGTCAATTCAGTTGGAGCTGTTTTTCAAATTGCCTACATTGTACTTTTTGTAATGTATACAGAGAAAGAGAAAAAGGTTAATAATCCTCTTTTGTATTTTGATTTAAAGCAGTTCCCCAAATTTTCAGATGTTGCACTTGTTCATATAGTAACCTTTTAAATTGTATGCCCATCAATGTTGTTTGTAGTTCAGGATTCTGGGATGGATACTCACAGTCTTTGGCCTATTTGCAATTATTGTAATTGGAAGCTTGCTTATACTTGAACTTCAACTCCGGCGTATCATCATTGGCTCCCTGAGTTGTGCTTCCCTCATATCAATGTTTGCCTCCCCGCTGTTTATTATTGTATGTCTGATCGTTGATATTCAGAGTCTCTATGAATATTTCTATCAAGTTCTTATTCTCTAATGTTTTTCCGCTGATTCACTGACTAACTCGTCTTCTAGAATCTGGTGATCAGGACCAGGAGCGTCGAATTCATGCCATTTTACCTGTCCCTCTCCACCTTCCTAATGAGTGCCTCTTTCTTTTTGTATGGAACTTTCAGTTTTGATCTGTTTATATATGTGAGTTTCTTTCTCCACACTTACGTTATACCGCAGGTTAAAGAAAAAGAGGGATGCCAACCTGCTTCCCCTAGTATATAAGGGCAAGATAGATTCAGTTATTTTTATAAAAAATGCAAATGTCTTACCCTATTTCTCTCGCCTGTCTCATGAACTGTCTCTACTTGAATTTCAGGTGCCAAATGGCATTGGAACACTTTTAGGAGTTGTACAATTGCTTTTATTTGCATATTACAAAAGTTCTTTAACGAGAGACTCTACTGAACGCTTAGTAGCGTCTTATTCGTGATTGGTGAACTACAGATTAAAAAGAAAGTGGTGTCTTATTCGTTCACCTACGCAGAAAGGTAAATGCTCGATCCCTTTAGCATCTGTTTCATCCAGAAGATTTTAATACTAATCATCTCCAAATGTGCATTTTGTGAACATATATCTCTCTTTCTCAAGCTGTTAAATAAGGAGTATACTTTTAATTTGTGCAAATCCCTTTATTTTGTCTGTCCTAGGTGAGAATAAGTGCTCGCTGGATTGTATGGAGAATGGTGGGAAGCCAAGCGCAAGCTGACTGCAGTTTCCTAGTCATTGAACGCCTTCAACTACACCTGGTTCCTAAATAGTATCTGTTTTCTGCATATATTCTGCAAGGTTGAAATAGGAGAACTTTGTGTGGATCCACAATGCACGCCTTTTTATCTTGTTCCTGTTTTCCTTTCAAATTCATTCTTCTGATATGGATGGATTGAAGAGGCAGAATTACTTCAAAACAAAGTAATTCATGGTAGCACATATAATTGCAATTGAATGCGTACATTGTTCTACACGAGACATAATCTAAAGAAGCTGGTATATTATCTATTTTACTAACTCTCACTAATAATAGACTAGACTCGGTGTATTACTCAGTGCTAAAGAAGCTGTTGAATGAAAATCCCCAGATTGCTAAGTGTATTACTCAGTGTGTATGTGTTTGCATTTGTTTTAAGCCTCTTGTTAAAGTTCCTGGCTCCGCCACTACTTATATTATATGTATGCTTTCAAAGCTAGCAATGGAAACTGAACTATAAAGAGAAAATACAAATGCTTCAGGATCACTAGTAGTTGTTCTCTGATGTGTTGCCTTTAATGATTTTATGTTTACCTGATGATAGTTGAATCCGTTACCGGCCTGGCGAAGTGGCCCGGCCTCTCTCATCATAGAGAATAAGTCCACTGAACTTTGGCAGCTCACACTTTTCACCCATAAGTATAGGCCTTTTCCACACTGGTGAATCAGAACTGTGACTCTGCTGCATCCCAAATTCAGCTTCAAGCTGACCCGGATTAACGAGCAATGGGGGAAGCTTCTCTTTCTGGCTCCACCGTACAGTACTCGTTAGCGCCTCCTCTACCGAACTCAACTCTGCACATTGTTCCGAACAATCTATGTTTGTCGAGTCATCCACACGCCGTTCTTCATCCTCTGATCTCTTTCTTGCAATATTTCTCCTGAAAGCAGCAATAATGCAGGTTCCAATAACTAAGGAACAGGTGCAGATTACCAATACTGCAACAGCTCCTTGGGTAGATATTCTCCATTTATCTTCTAGATTCCAATCTGCTTCCATGTTTTTTCCAGTAGGTGTCAGAAAATGTATGAAAGTCACAACACTTAATAGCATGGAATAAGAGAATGAGTCTGCATATATTTGGAAGGCAAAACTAGACGTTGGTTTGGACTATTGCTAGCTCTAGGCGTCTAGTGAGGTTCACCGACAGTTTGGTGCTTGAAAAATTATATTACGTGTGGGTCGTCCATTGAATAATTTGCCATTAGCCGTTAGCATAACTCATCGTTTTGGATGGACTATTAGCCTTTCCCAGGACTGCAGATTGTTATATTTGTTTCTGACTATTGCCCATAGATAACGGGTGTACAAAAGATACCGATAAATCGCACCCGGAGTCAAACCAGGAAAAAAATCAGACTATGGTTTGATTTGATTTGCTTTGGTGTTGGAAAAATAATAACCCGACCATAATTGGTTTGGTTTGGTTTTAACTAAAAAAAGTCAAACCAAAAATCAACCCGACATTAAATGTATACAAGCTTTAAAATACTTTATACATATNTTATCTCATGCTCGGACTTCGAATTTTTGAATGGTCCAATATGTTTTATAGTCCATAAGTATTAGTAACTCAAATAAAACCCAAAGCAAAACTAAGTCAATACTAATACTAACAAAAGAAATTTCATTTAATACTAGGAATGATAATAGTGTTGGATACCTATTTTTTTTAGTTTTGTATTGGTTTAGACAGTAAAATTGCATAACTTTTTTTTTTTAATCGTTTAGTTATGTAATTAATATTTAGAACGTATTAGTCGTACTTATTTTAGCATGACTTACTACTTTTAGATTATTTTTATTTTTATTATGGCTTATTAATTAGCAAAATTTATTTTATACGATTTCATGTACCACTGGAGTGAGCTCCACAGTGGTCTTCGTGTACTTCTTCAAGGATGCGCCGCGTCTGATTTAGGCCTAAGCATTTCTCCAGAGGGCCGCCATATGTCCTTTTGTACATGTCATTGTGAACGATGTTGTATCTGTCCGCTTGCATTCACAGCTTCTTGGCCTCTTTTTTATTGTTGGGGAGTATGCCGCCCTGCAAATATGTAATAATATGTTTGCGCCAGTCCCAAGTCAGGTTTATGGTTCTTACCTCGATTTGGTCTATCGACGAGTTGAGGAGGTGGACCACATTTTGGTCTCCGGTTGAAATATTTTTGGTAGCTGCTGCCAATTTGGCGAGGCCATCCGCCTCGATATTCTGTGCTCAGGGAATCTGGTCGAGCTGACATTCGTCGAACTCGGGTAGTAGTTTGCAGATTTCGGTCTGGTATTTTTGTAACCTCTGATCCTTGATTTGGAAAGTCCNCGGTTGAAATATTTTTGGTAGCTGCTGCCAATTTGGCGAGGCCATCCGCCTCGATATTCTGTGCTCAGGGAATCTGGTCGAGCTGACATTCGTCGAACTCGGGTAGTAGTTTGCAGATTTCGGTCTGGTATTTTTGTAACCTTTGCTCCTTGATTTGGAAAGTCCCTGTGACTTGCTTGACCACGAGCTGAGAATCGTAGCGCAACCTTAGCCGCTTCACCCCGTATTTGAGTACTAGTCTTTGTCCTGCAATTACGGCCTCATACTCGGCCTCATTGTTAGTCATGTCCGGGCACCTTATGGATTGGCGAATTACTTCGCCTGTTGGGACTTCGAGTACGAGTCCCAGCCCAGACCCCGATGCGTTAGATGCGCCGTCGGGTATATAGGACCAAGAGGTCTTGTGTTTGGGAAGAAACGTGGACGGTTTCCCTTTCGACTTCGGGTAGTATATGCGCACTGAATCGGCGAGGACCTGAGACTTTATCGCCGTTCGCGGTCGATATGTAATATCGTGCTCGCTTAGTTCGATGGCCCATTTGGCCAATCTGCCCGATAGTTCGGGTTTTGTGTAAAATGCTTCTTAAGGGAAAAGTCGTGACGACCGAGATGGGATGGCATTGAAAATACGGTCTAAGCTTTCGTGAAGCTACGACTAAGGCCAGAGCCAGTTTTTCAAGATGGGGGTATTTGGTCTCGGCGTCGACTAGTGTCTTGCTAATGTAATAGACGGGAGATTGCGTACCTTTATTTTCTTGGACTAATACTGCGCTCACATCTACTTCGGACACGGCGAGATAGATGAGGAGAGGTTGTCCTGGTTCCAGTTTTGAGAGCAGCGGTGGAGAGGACAAGTATACCTTTAACTCTTTCAGGTTTTGGACACACTTATAGGTCCATTGGAGGCCATTTTCCTTTTTGAGTATACCGAAGAACTTGTGGCAGCTATCGGAGGATCGTGAGATGAACCTCGAAGGAGCAGCGATACGACCGGTTAGCTTCTAGACCTACTTTTTGGTGGTCAAGTACTCTGGTATCCCGTCGATGGCCTTTATTTGGTCGGGATTGACCTCGATACCCCGCTGCGACACTAGGAAACCCAAGAACTTCTATGTGGTCACGCCGAATGTACATTTTTTGGGGTTCAGTTTCATGTTGTATTGCTTGAGTATGCTGAATGCTTCTCTTAAGTGATCGATGTGATCTTCTTTCCTTTTGGACTTGACCAGCATATCATCGATGTATACCTCTATCATTTTTCTAAGCTGTTCTTTGAACATCTTCGTCACCAACCTTTGGTAAGTTGCCCCCGCATTTTTCAATCCGAAAGGCATGACCCTATAGCAGTACGTCCCCTGGTGGGTGATGAAGGTGGTCTTTTCCTGGTCCTCTTCCTCCGTAAGGATCTGGTTGTAGCCTGAGTAGGCATCCAAGAAACTTAGCAACTCGTACCCGGTTGTCACGTCTATGAGCTGGTCGATATGAGGTAATGGAAACGAATCCTTGGGGCAAGCTTTGTTCAAGTTGGTGAAATCTACATACATCCGCCACTTACCATTCTTCTTTTTCATCATGACCACGTTGGCGACCCATTGGGGGTACTTCGACTCTTTGACGGAGCCATTTTCCAATAATTTTTCCATTTTTTCGCGCACTGCATCATTGATTGCGTAGTTGAACTTACGTCGACCCTGCCTCACTGGGGTAGAGTGGATCGGCATTTAATTTGTGTGCGGTGATCTCCTTTGGGATGCCTGGCATATCTGTGTGGCTAAAAGCGAACAAGTCTGCGTTAGCAGTTAAAAATTCACGAAACTTACCCGGTTCTTGAAGTTTGCAGCCGATGTAAGCTTTCTTGCTGTGGTCGTTTCTGTCTAGTTGAACGGGGTCGATGTCCTATATGGTTGATCCTGTGGCCTCGGCCATATCGGGGTCTCTGATGACGTCCCCGCTGTCATCGCTTACCGACCTGGACCCTGTTGATTGTTATGCCTCTTTCTCTCTATCTCTCATTTGTTGGGTGGCCGTGCAATCTAGGGCAATGCGGTAGCACTCTCGGGATGTGCGTCGCTCCCCGCGTCTGAATATGCCCCATGGAGTTGGAAATTTGATGACCTGGTACAAGCTGGAGGGTATAGTTCTCATGATGTGTATCCATAGTCGCCCTATTATGGCGTTGTATGTCGTGTCCTGGTCCGTGATGTGGAAAGTGGTCTCTATAGTGACGCCACCCACCAGGACGGGGAGTGTCATCTCGCTAGATGTTCGTTCAACTGCATTGTTAAAGCATGTTAGTATGATGTAGCGTGGTACTATCTTGTCCTCGAGTTTCATTTGTGTGAGTACTCGGGGATGGATAATACATGCGTCGCTCCCAACATCTACCATAATTCGTCTTACGTCAGTATCTAAAATTCATAAAGTAATTACGAGAGCGTCATAGTGAGGGAATTCCAAACCGTTGGTATCTGACTTAGGTGATACTTTCTTCGAGTTCGTCATACCATTCGTGGGTGATTGACCGTTTGAGCTTGTGGATTATGGTGAACTTCGCGTTGTTGATGGAAGCGGCATTCCCGCCACCGATTATCATGTGGATGGTGCGGGCTGGCGAGGGTGACTTTGGCGTCCCTTGATGTTGTTCGCGTCCCCTGGCAAAGTTGGTCCTTCCCCAATCGCTTAGTAATCCTTTGAGGTGTCCTTGTCGCAACATGTTTACGACCTCCTGTCTTAGGGCGATGCAATCTTTGGTTTTCTATCCTCGCTCTTGATGGAACTCGCAGAGGGCGTCTGATTTTCTGATATTCGGGTCTGGCCTCATCTTTTGTGGCCACTTTACCTTTGGTCCGAGCTTCTCCAAGGCATAGATGATCTCTGTAGGTGACGCGCAAAAATTGTGAACGGATAGTAAAGCGGGCATGCCTCTCTCATTCCGGTGAGTCCCTGTTCTTGATCGGGGTGGGCCTTCTTCATGGCGAGATAAGGATAAAGCGGTAGTTCTGACATATGGAAGATGTCGTTTGCAGTTTGGCCGTGGGGCCACTGGATCTCTTCTAATATCACTTCTCCGATCTTTTCTGGATTCTGCTCGTACTGAGGTCAGTCGATGAGTCGGCCCATTGAGGTCGTCTTCGTCTGCTCGGACTTCGGCACAGTCCGCATTATGTATTTCATCCCAAGTTGTTAGGGGATATTTCATAAGCCGAATTAATAATTTTCTTGTCGCCCTTGAACCATTCCAGTTCAGTTCGTTTTGAAAGGCAGTTGTCTCCATTCCTTCTGATACATTGGGAAAAGTCATTCTTACTCAGTTGAAATGGGCAAAGAAGTCCCTCGGTCCTTCTCCCGGGGACTTCTTAATAGCAAAGATGTCATTCACTCTTGCCTCGGCCTTCTTGGCCCCGGCATGGGCCGACACGAACTTATTGGCCATTTCTTCAAAGGTTTCGATGGAACGTACTGGCAGTTGCGAGTACCAGGTTAATGCACCTCCCGTAAGGGGTTCGCTGAATTTCTTTAGCAGAATGGAGGATACTTGTTCTTTGGCGAGGTCATTTCCTTTCACAGCGGTGACGTAATGGGTCACATGATCCTCGGGGTCGGTTGTGCCATCTTATATTTTCAGATAAGGCGGCATTTTAAAGATTTTTGGTATGGCGTGCGGAGTAGCGCTATCACT